TTGCTTCATTGAAAGCTTATTGTATTACTGTATTAAAAGCTCACTGTATTATGTAGAGTATTATGAGAGAGAGGGACTGAGCGAGTATGATTACCTGCATCATTCTTCAGCTCAATCTCTTATTCACAATAAAACATTTTTTGAATGTCCGCTGAGGAAAGCGATATCTTTTTCATAGGCCCTACTATCCTTTCATCTGTTAAGGGTGATTTCCGATGACAGCACTGCTTAGTGCATTTGTTAGCTGAATCTTACAAGGTGTTGAAAGTAAAAATAACTTCTTTGTTTACAACCGTGTTTCAGTCTCTTTCAATATAAAAGCCTTTACTGCAGACTCGCTCATACAAAACACTCACTTATGTAACTAAAATCACCATCATGAACACACACTGTTTCCCAATACTAAGTTATATAATATAAGTATAAATATAATTATGATATAATATAAGTTAAACAAATTATATCTCATGTTTAACCACTATAGAGCCATCAGAGCTAGTGGCAAATTACCAAAGAACTGGCCGAGCCTACATCTCCGAAAACGTCGAAGCAAATTTTCAAATAGAGGTTTTCTTTAACAAACCACATATTTGAAGTTTAAACAAGTACATTCTCACCAAATAAATTCTTAAAACTACATTTTGTGACACAACAACCAGAGTGATACAAACGGTGAAACGGATAGAGCTCTGTTATTACTGGAATATTGTATCCCTCTCAGCCAATCAGATTCGAGGACCACAAAACACTTTGTGTATATTATATATATATATGTGTGTGTGTGTGTGACCCTGGACCACAAAACCAGTCATAAGGCTCAATTTTTTGAAATTGAGATTTATATACCATCCCAAAGCTGAATAAATAAGCTTTCCATTGATGTATGGTTTGTTATGATAGGAATATTTGGCCGAGATACAACTATTTGAAAATATGGAATCTGAGTGTGCAAAAAAATCTAAATACTGAGAAAAATCGCCTTTAAAGTTGTCCAAATGAAATCCTTAGCAATGCATATTACTAATCAAAAATTAAGTTTTTATATATTTACGGTAGGAAATTTACAAAATATCTTCATGGAACATGATCTTTACTTAATGTCCTAATGATTTTTGGCATAAAAGAAAAATCAATTTAAACGATATTTTAAAATATTTAAAAATGAATATTATATAACCAATTTGTTTCACATTCTTTCTTGGAAAATAAAGAATCACTATAACTTCTGAAACTGACCAGCAGTGTTTTAGCATTACTTAAAAAGTAGTGAAATAAAAAGTGATGAAAATGTAATTTAACATCAATGTGAACATACAAACAAAAAAATTAATGACACTACTTTAATATCATTGTAACTTTGCTTTCCACACACTTTAAGTACTTCTTCATATACCACAGCAAAAACTATAGTCTGAGAAAGTTCAAACATGATTAAAGGCAAGTGAACAGTCAGTAAAAAAAAAGAAAGAAAAAGAATAAAAAGAAATACACAATTTACAAGCATAGATAAAATAAACAGTAGTATTCAGGTACAGAAATGTAATAATTAAGTGTAAAATAACACTGCATAGTGTTCACTGTATGAATTAAATTTAGATTAATATTTGTTATAGCCGTTTTGTTAACATTAGTGTCATATTCAGCAGCACGTATTTATAGGCTGCTGTCCCTTTAAATCCGACTGCACGGATCCCGTATAATGATACACATCCGATTTCTTTCTCAGCTGTTTACATTAATTTAAAACATAACCGACTGAGTTTACAAGAATGACCGTCGAGACGGGTACTATTGACATAATTCTGTGTGTGTGTGTCTGTTCAAACATAAGGAGGAGATGCGAAAGACGAATTAACTCGGTCTGAAACGCGTCTCTCTGTGTGTATGCACACGCTTTGCACGTGTGCGGCAGAACTGAAGAGATGCTGTGCGAGATGCGGCTTGTGCGCGCGCTTCAGGTGTGAGTCAGACAGCAAGACCTATATGCGTTGAACTAAAACTTTGACCTTTTGCAACGTTTTGATTTAAGTAGCCTATTATTAAAATGATATCGCACGCCAATGCGATATGCATATTGCGATATTTCGATATATCGTGCAGCCCTAATAGTGAGAAATGGTATTTTATAAAGTGTTACCGGAAAATTGTACTTTCCAGTTCATTGGTTTGGCATGGAGTTTTCTGGACCATGAGTTATGCTCTAAAATACCTGCAAACCATTCTCAGACCCCTGAAATGAACAAAGTTAGACCCATGTTCAACATTCAACTGACAGCACCTTTGTGGAAAAATGACTGCTTGTCAAAGTTGTGCTGACTTTGCAGTACCTAGGATTTTTCCTGAAAACACATTGGTAGGAGATTTCTTTCACAAATCAGTTCTGACATATAGAATGCATTTGAGCTTCAGCACACACTTGGTAATCTTACCAACTGTGCTGTGCTAAAAGACACTTCACGCTGAGCAGGGAACAAAATCTGATGAATACGTAACGTGCCTCTTTTTCTTTCGACTCCAGTTCCTGCTTAATTGCTCCTGATTAAATTGATTTCTTCTTCTTGTACAGGTAATTTGCTGCAAGAGGTGTCTGCTAGGGCTGGAGAAACAAAGTAAGCCACAGACGAATGGAAATTTGCTGTGCTTTAAATCCACCTTAAACCTCAGCTGCCCTTCGGCTCAGGACAGACATAAAAAGAAATGCAATTATAAATTATTCAAAATGCTTTCAATTTAAAGGTGATCCACCGATCCTGGTGTCACATAATACAGAATTGAGATTGATGTCATTCAATTCACTGAATTTCAGCCTATAGCATTGTCATTGCTTTTTGAACATATACCATGGTAAAAACATAGTAGTCAATAGTAAACAATAGTAGCAATTTGCTTTTGGTTTCAGTTAGTACAATAGCATGACTTCTGTATCCTTAATAGTTTCTTGTCACTTTTAACTGTTTTATCTCATAATAAAAAAGCAACTTGTGAGAAAATGTTCTTTGTCAATATGCAGACATTATTTTTTACAAATCTCTTAAATACTTTAGTCTTTATGATGTAATTCCACCTTGCGGAACTTGGAAATATGACAAATAAAGACAATAAGAGAACAAAATTTCAAAGCTCAGTGTGCTATTGGCTGCAGTTAATGTCAAACTGACTGTGCACTGTATGTGGAAGAAGCTTTATCTGGTTTTGTGAGAAAACACGATTGATAATGGATACATATTATGGTTAATACACAACTGTGTGCACTGTTGTTGTTTACTTGTCCAATTTATTAATAATGCTTTTCATGTAATAATTTGGGACGACTAAACAAAAGCATGGGAAAGTTTTATCTACTTTCTAGAATGTACTTTTTTAGACAATTGAGGTCAAAACTGATTACATATGTTAAATGTTAATTTAATTTTTTATCAATTTTATAAACATGGCATTTAGAATCATCATATAAGTCACATCACGTATATCATTATCATATTGGTTATCAGCTGCCTTCAAAACTATTGTTCCCCTTCAGGAACTCGAACTGCATTGGAAAACACTATGGGACCACTTCAGTGTGACCACCCTCTGAACCACGTGTGTAATCAGTCCAATGGATGGGCGAGACATCACGGGCGGGGTGACGTAGAGACCAGGAAGCTTAAAAGCACGTGCAGTGGATACAGTCGCAGCTTTCTGTCATTCAGCAAGCGCTCTGTGTGTGTCAGTCCTAGTTACTGTTGTTTGTCCTGTTGCTGCAATATCATGCCTAAATCAGCCAGCAAATGCAAACATAAGGGCGAGAGCAAGCACCGCTATAGACTGTGTGTTCTTATCATGCCTAAATCAGCCAGCAAATGCAAACATAAGGGCGAGAGCAAGCACCGATATAGACTGTGTGTTCCTCCCTGTCCTCGCTACATCATGGACGGGAATGCACACAGTTTATGCGTGGTTTGCTTGGGAGCAAAGCACGCTGAGTCAGCTCTCGAGGGAGCTGTCTGTCCGCACTGCGAGCGCCTCTCGCTGTGGACGCTTCGCTCCCGGAAGGCTCTCTTTGAGCATTCCCTGCGGCTCTGGTCCCGTGTCTGCCGAGGCAGCACGTCGATTGCGGTAGTGGGGTTCACAGATGGATCTGGCGGAGGGAATGGAGACGGGCGAGTCCCTATCTTCTTCCTCACCCGCCAGATCCAGCGCCCCCTCTCAGGGATCGGATGAAGTTTTTTCCACCGTGGGAGAGGGCTCGACACTCCGCTTCTCTTCCTTTGAGGGAGTCGATGTGGAGGCTGTCGATGAGGCAGGGGATTCGCCCCTCCTGTCTCCCCAGTATGAGGAGCTGTTGAAGGTAGTAACTAGTGCTGTGGCTAAGTTAAACATCGATTGGCCCGCGAGAAATAGGCTGAACCGCAGAAAAGCAAGCTGGATGAATGGTTTCTGCGTACTAGTGTTGTTTTTGGCGGCCTGTTTTAATTTTAGTTTTAGTCTAGTCTTTGTGTGAAGCTGTCATTTTAGTTTGCGATATTTAGTCATAATTTTCGTTGACGAAAGCAACACTACTGCGTACTAAGCCGCTACCTCCAAGCCGGGGCTTGCCATTTTTCCCCGATTTTCACACTGAGGTGTCGAGATCATGGTCGAAGCCTTCCTCGGCCCCCATCTTCAGCCCCGTCCAACCACTATGCAAATGTGGTGGGGCTGAATGAGAGTGGTTACAGGGCTATGCCTCAGGTCAAACAGACGCTCTCGAGCTATCTGTCGCCCGGTTCGGCATCATCCCTGAAAGCCCTGGCACTGCCCTCCAAGCTGCTGCGTACTACATCTAGCTTGGTGGGCAAAAGGTACACGGCAGCGGGTCAGGCTGGTGCGTGTTTGCACACTATGGCAGTGTTACAAGTGTACCAAGCCAACCTGCTGAAGGAGCTAGACGAGGGTGAGGAGATTAAGCCGGAGGATATCACAGAACTCTGCAGAACCACTGATTTGTCTCTCCACGCCATCAAAGAGACCGCCCGCACCATCGGCATGTCTATGGCAGCTATGGTGGCCGCGGAGAGGCATTTGTGGTTGACCCTGTCTGAGATCAGAGAGAAGAACAGGGTCTTCCTCATGGATGCCCCGCTTGCGCCTTCTGGCCTGTTCGGCGACGCCGTCAACTCGGTCATCAACAGGTTCCAGGAAGCCCGTAAACAAGTGGCGGAGTTCCAGCGGTTCCTCCCTCGCCACTCTCTAGCTTCTGGGGCTGCATCGTACCGGCTCCTCATACCAGGAACAACAAAAACAGAGCGTCGCCTCACTTGCTCCTCCACAGCGGGACCTGTGGAGCAGAGACGCTCTAGGTCGGGGACTTCAAAGTCGAAGCTGGATCTGTGGACTGTCCTTCAGGCTAAGAAGTCCTCGGCCAAGAAGTCCTGATGCTTGTGGCTCAGGAGTACTGAGGGCAGGCCCCTCTGGGGAAGAGCGGTGTACACCTCATCATACGGTGCCCGTTTCTCCTCAGTGCCCTCAGAAGATTGTTCTGCCAACCCTGCCACCCACAGTTCTTCAGGGTGCAGTGGTCTCCGGCGAGCGCTTATTTCAATCTCCGCCCAGAAACGTAGCGGTACAGGGAGGCTCGCTACCTCTTTGGAGGTCTCTAGGGCAGCTAGATCGGACGTTCCCTGCCAGTCCTCTGCTTCTTGGCACGGAGCTAGCAGCACTAGGTACACCAGAGGTCAGTCTCGAGAGGCTGATTCCCTTAGTAGACTATTTGGCAGCGTGGAAACTTCTGCCAAATGTGTCTCAATGGGTCCTGCACACTGTAGAAAGAGGCTACTGAATCCAGTTCGGCTCTCCTCTGCCTTGTTTCAATGGGGTCATTCCCAATCTGGAGGGCCCCGAGCAGGCTCTGGTAATGGAACAAGAAGTAAAAACTCTCTTGAGGAAGGAGGCCATCGAGGTGGTCCCTCCTCTCGACAGAGAGTCCAGGTTCTACAGCCAGTACTTCATCGTTCCAAAGAAGAATGGAGGGTTGCATCCCATTTTAGATCTGCGTCAATTGAACCGCTCAGTCATGCGACTGAAGTTCAGGATGCTCACAATCAAACAAGTCATGTCTCAGATCAGGTCTGAGGACTGGTTTGTCACGATAGATCTAAAAGACGCATATTTCCATGTCTCCATCCTTCCTCAACACAGGAAGTTTCTGAGGTTTGCTTTCGGGGGCGAAGCTTACCAGTATCGGTTCTTCCATTCGGCCTGGCTCTCTCACACTTTCACGAAGTGTGTGGAGCAGCATGCTCTGGCTCCGCTGCGACTCCAGGGCATCCACATACTGAATTATATCGACGATTGGTTAGCTCAATCGGAGTAGATGTCGGTTCGGCATTGAGATGTCGTTCTCGCACACATGAAAGAGCAGGGGTTAAGCCTGAATGCCATGAAAAGTGTGCTTTCTCCACTACAGAGGACCACTTATCTGGGCGTGACAGTGGTGACTCAAAACCAAGGGGTTTTCCCCGAGGGGAAATCCGCTTTGCATGCTCAAGGTCACGCGGCGATGCCTACGTGCCTTAGACATGTGGAGGAAACCTTGGTTCTTGTCTCAGGGCCTGGTGCTGGGAGCTCCTTGTCGTCGTGTAATACTAATGATGGACGCGTCCCTCACCGGTTGGGGTGCGGTCATGAGTGGCCACTCTGCTCGCGGTCTATGGAGTGGTCGCCATCTCTCGTGGCACATCAACTGCCTGGAGATGTTGGCCGTGTTTTGAGCACTGAAACACTTCCTCTCAGACCTAAGAGGCCACCATGTGTTGATGCGCACCGACAACACAGGGGTGGTCTCTTACATCAACCACCAAGGAGGTCTGCGTCCGCGCCCACTTTACAGGCTGGCGCACAAGATCCTTGTGTGGTCCCAGGGGAAACTCCTCTTGCTGAGTGGTACAGACTTGGCTGAGGCTTCGTCTGTACGCCTTTCTCCCGATTGCTCTGCTCCCGGGAGTTCTGGAGAGAGTGCGCAGGGCCGGTGTACGTCTACTGCTATTAGCCCCTTTCTGGCCGGGCCGAGTATGGTTCTCGGATCTGATTTCCCTTCTCGACGGCTCTCCATGGAAGATTCCCATCAGGAGGGATCTCCTCTCACGGGAGGGGAGCACTATCGTCCACGCCCGCCCAGAATTGTGGAAGCTGTGGGTGTGGCCCCTGAGGGGGTGCAGCTCATAGCTTCCGATCTCTCAAATGAGGTTGTTGAGACCATCTTCCAGTCCAGAGCTCCCTCTACGAGGAAACTGTATGCCTTGAAGTGGAAGCTTTTCACTTCTTGGTGCGGAGACCCAGTTAACTGCCCAGTTGGTTCAGTGCTGGAGTTCCTGCAGGCCAGATTCTCCACAGGGTTGACCCACTCCACTTTGAAGGTCTACGTGGCGGCCATAGCGGCCTACCACGCCCCTCTCGGTGGTCAGTCCGTGGGCAAGAACCCCCTAGTTACACGTTTCCTCTGAGGCTGAGGCCTCCGGTACAATCACGTGTCCCCCCGTGGGACCTGGCTGTGGTGCTAGAAGCTCTCTGTAGGCCTCCTTTCGAGCCCATTGAAGAGATTTTTGATCATTTCCTCTCTATAAAGACTACCTTCCTCCTTGCTATCTCTTCTATCAAGAAAGTTGGTGACCTTCAGGCCCTCTCCATGGCCCCCTCTTTCCTAGACTTTGCACCTGGATTGGCCAAAGCGTTTTTGTACCCAAGGTCCCTTCATTTTCACCACGGCCTGTCGTACTCGAGGCCTTCTGTCCTCCTCCCTTTCGGGAGCCTGACCAGCAGAAGCTTAATTGTATGTGTCCAGTGCGAGAATGGTGTGATCCAGTGTGTTTTTTTTTGTGTGAGTGTGCAAAAAAACTTTAACATTACAAGTAAACCTCAAAGAACATATTAAAATAATTTAAAAAATCCATGTCATGACCCCTTTAAAATACTGTTAACTCAAATAATTAATTATATTTATACTGACATTTAAAATAACAATAATAACATTATTATATTAAGGCTGCATCACCTACAACAGTATCTTAAACCAATGACTATTTATTTATTTACTTAGATTAATATTTGCAGTGATATAATGAAAATAGATTCCTTAAAATAATGCAGCAAACATGTGCATGTAGAATATTATATAAATATGAAATATTAGACTTTATTAAACATTTTAACAGTAAAAATTACATCAAACAACACTGTGCTGCTGGTTTTTTTTCTACATAAATACGTATATACATGCAGAGTAAGAGGATGCATGCACCTCTGTTCCATTGATTTTAGATATCTGTTCCACTGGAGCAAAAACTGATCCTCATTGGAAAACAAGCTTTAAACACATAATTTTGGGTCCCGTCCAGATGCCATGCTTGACTGGCCTGGTTCCTCACTATCATCAGCATCATTGGTGCTCTTTGCAAAGGAAAAATGATGGGCAGCAGACAATCATTTACTGCAGTTGGATGCAGATATAAAGTCTTACATTTAATTTAATTGTTACGTTTAATTTAGGATTTAGGGAATCTTGTTATTGCCTACTGAAATGAGTAAATATTACAAAAATAGAGACCGAAGTTTGTTCAATTATTTTCTTAAATTAAATTAAAAGTAAGTTTGTATTATTATTATTATTTATTTATTTTTATCGTT